CATTTAAACTAGAAATGTTTTAATGGCCGTCAACCCTAATAAAAAGTGTTATGGGAAGCCAAAATTAGATCAGGAAGTTATTTCTTTTCACCGCAAGGTGGTGCTCTCATGCCATGTTGAACCACCATGTTCTCAAGCCATAAAACTCTGAACTCCGTTTTGTGGTTGCTATAGTAGGCCTGTGACTTTTCTCAGAATAGAGAATTGAATTGTATGGTGTCTACATAAAGCAGAACATGTGACTATCACTTTTAAATATATGTTCCCTGAGCCACCTCCAAATAGCCAGTGCTATTCAGATTGATGGTCTCTTCCAACCTTTTCTTCTCTTTGCTGTTTCATGTCTTCTTTCCCAGTGAGCAGGAAGTGCAGATTTACTAAGAAGAATCTAGTTATTTTTTTCCTTATATTTATTCTAAAACAACAAACAAATTCAAGCCCATTCCAGACACTTGGAAGTTTCTCACTAAAATGAATGGGAGGTACCTGGAGGGCTAAGCTGAACTTTCATACTGATGTACACCATGTTTAGATGTTTGCCACCACTCAACAGAAAGAGTCTTTTAATCTACCAGTGGATGTCATTAAACCATAATGCTAGATCAGTAGCCCTCTTCCCATTCAAAGCAGTGTGCACAAACCAGAGGATCAGATACCCCCCAAAATCAGCTGCTGGGCACACAGAATCATACAAGAGTTGATCCTTCCATGCCCTGTTTTCAGCCTTCTAGGCCACTGTGGAAAACAGCATGCCGGATTGGATGTTTTGAGCCAGCAGGCGTCATCTCATGTTCTCACAAGAACTGCAGAAGAGCACTGCTTTGCTCTTACACTGTTTCCATTCACTTCAGTAGGTGGCAGAACTTTGAAGCTGCAAAAGGTGCAGAATTCAGTGGCCAAATGGCTGACAGGGACAAGATGGGTCTGAACACCTAACAGGACACCTGACGTCACTGCATTGGCTCTCCCCAGGGAGGCTTACCTGGAACCATCACCATCTATTTTTAGACAACTGGCAAAAACATTCTTATTCACCCAAACTTTATTTGTGTGCTTATTTTTAATGGGGTTGGGTTGGTTCTGCTCTTTTATATATATTAATGGTGCATTTTAGATTGTTTTTATGCTTGTTTTTAGTATTCATTTTTGTAAGTTGCTTTGAGTTCAGCTTTCTAAAAAAAAAAGAGAGACTAGTGTTTATAATAAATAACAGAACTTTGCTATGGACTAAGTACTTTGTTTGAGTCCTCCTATTTCAGCACCCTTTCCTATCCTCCTGCTCACTTTCTATATCCTACTTGTAAAGTTAAATATTAGGAAACTTAATGAAGAACAGGGTGACCACAAGAAACCGATGGCCTGTCCTGCCATCCCATGGCATGACTGTTTGTTTCCCAGCCAGTTACAGAGGAAGAAGGGGAACAAACTTCCTGGAATCAGTCCTTTCCAGGAACTCTGGTTTAAGTCACCCTGCTGTCATCCCAGAAAACAAATCCAGACAATTTCTTTTTGGGTTTAATTCATTTAATTTTTATGTAAGTGAATTAGAAAATGTGATTAAGGATTACTGAATATTCACCATCAGGTTTGCCTAAACTCGCAAATACATGAAACAGGGGAGAGATGGGAAGTTTATTAGAAGGAAGAGGAAATGGTAATATCTTCCACATTTATTGGGTTTGGGGGCTATGAGTCTTATGTGATTTACTTTTGAGCAAGTCATCTTAAATTTCAGTGGCATTTGCTCATGAGCAGATGGGTTATGGTTTGGAAATCTCTGGATAAAGATCAGGAGAAATTAGCTTGGTTTAAGAGTGAGAAGAAACAGCTCCATTCAGTGGAAATTAAACATTATTTCTATTAATGCTCAAATGTTCCATGGAACCAATGGAACTTTAATTTTGGCTGGATCATGCCTCGTACATAATCCACAACTGACCAAGTGATGGTTGTTTGCTGCAATCTTTCCACTTTCCTGCCCTTTGGATGGGTGTTACATAAGAAACATTAAAAGAAAAATGCCTGCAGACAAACTCTTTGGATTATCCAACCCTTGGCACAGCCTTAAACCGACAAAACAGCTAAGAGAGCCTCATTTGAATGTCTTCTACCTCCTCCCACATTCGATCCTTCCATTGTATACCATCTAGCCTGATTAAAATTACTGGGAAGTTTAATATGCAGATAGTGATATTTTGGTTGGCCCAATAAAGTTATTGCCCTAATATGAACTTTGGATTATTTCTTACAGGTCAACATGGCTATCTTTACTTTTTGAAACTTTATGCTATTTATATACCTCTCATTGTCCCCACAGAGCCTCGGATTCAGAGCAGGAGTGGGAGACTTTGGAGGACAAGGACTCAGATGGAGAGATGAGACAATGCAGCCAAGCCCATTTGGCTAAGATCCCCTCTAGATGCACCTAATCTTGGACTCTTGAGCCTTGGTTGTTTCTCTTGGACTGGAATTATAGTTGCTACTCCTCTGCCTTGTTAAAGCACCTAGTCTGGTATTTGCTCTTCCCTAGCCACTTGGTCTGTGCTATTAGACTGCTATAATGAAAGTTTGTAAAAACCTTTTTAAAGGCAGATGTCTGCAGCTGTTTAAAAATGTCTGGATTGCCAAGGCACACAAAGTGCTCTGGAAGTCTGTGCTTTGACTTCGTCCCACCATCGAACCTTGCCTTGCCGGAGCCCTCCAGTGCACCCCGCCTGTCTAATTGGGATTAGTACAAATCTTTGTACAAAATATTCTTTGTAGAAGAAACCTATGTAGCCACATCCTTTGCAGAAGAAACCTGTTGCCTATGCTTAATGCATAAATCATGTGTAAGCCTACAAAATGTGGTGGCAATATAAAGACAGAGAATGCAGCAGGAGTGGTCAATGCAGTGGTTTGGGGTTCCAGAGGCATCCACCTGACAGTGGCATCGCTGCCGCTTACCAAGACTGTGGAGGAGGTGGCCCTGGCAAGGCTGGGGCTGCATGGGTGCTCCTGCTGCTGTGCCTTCAGAGCCTCAGCCTTGCTGCTTATGAATTGCAAACTTCAATCCCCTGCCCCACTGCACTGACGGCTCCTGGAATGTAAATATCAGTTTTGGCCCTTGAATACTTTTTCTGCATATCTCCTAATACTGCATTTTCAAGTGACGTAAGATCTGTGTGTCACAGCTTAATAAACACTTCAACCTAAAATTGGGTTATTGTTTTAATTTTATACACTGTGATCTTTTTATGTGGACCTCCTTGAGACTTCCGGGTATAGGGAGGTATATAAATTCAAGAAGAAGAAGAAGAAGAAGAAGAAGAAGAAGAAGAAGAAGAAGAAGCCAGATGTTATTGGACTCCAACTCCCATTATCTTAAGCAGTCAAGAAAGATGGATTTTAGGCACTACAGGATGAAAGCCATTCCCTCTGATCCCATAGTCATGATCCTTAAACTGTTGTTTATCATCACCTATTTACTAATTTCCCATTTCAAGACCACCCATCAACTGAAGTCCTCTGGATGGTTTACCAAACGTGATAAAATATGCAAATGCAATGCATAAAACTCTGAGCCTGGCGTAAACGTCTTCCAAAAACAACATATAAAGTGGCCAACATAAAATGAACATATTGATATGAAATTATATACATAATATTATAAAATGAAAATATATTAATGCAAAGCTAATATGTTATTGGGGTGACCGTGGCTACTGAATGGTTGGGAAAAAGCACTTTGTACTTGGTCAGAGACCTGTGATGCCTGGCCAGCTTGCATACTGAAAGAAATAAAATTAAAACAACAGTTCCACCAAAGTAATGAAAGCAAACCTGGGGGGTGAGTATACACCTGTCTTCTAAAATTTGCTATTACAGAAAATGTTTCTTTCACTGTGCATATGGTGATCAACTTGGAAGGCATAAACCTGGCTGTAGGAAATGTTAAAAATGTATGGGTGGGGGCCATAGGTGCCAACTCCCTGGGACCCTGGGTGCCTGAGCACCCACAAATTCCCCATGAAGGGGCTGGGCATCCACAAATTTTGATGCCAGGGCCATGCATGCTGCATGGCACCCACAGCCCCAGGCACTCACAGTAGTGGGGCCAAGTTGGCACTCCTGGTGAGGGTAAACCTCTAGGACAGATAGCCTGTTCTCTACATGCATGCTGGGAAATTGTCCTGCTGAACATATATCTTTCAATTATGCTTATATTTCATATATTACAAGCCACAGCCTTTGGAAGAGGATCTGAGGTGTGGCTCTGTTGAGCCCTCACTCAGATGAAGTAACATTTTTTGAGCCCAAGGCTGGGAATTTCATTGAAACCTAATAGGTCTATCTGGGGGGAATTTTTCACTTTACGAGTCGTTTCTCTTTTTCAGCACCAAGAATTGGCCTCATGTTCTATGTGTCTTTCCCTTTACAATAAATAATGTTTAACCAGCTAATTCTGGGGAATCAGTGATACAAACAAACTAGAGAGTTAAATGTCAGCCATTATTTGGTTTAGTTTATGGGTACAAGTTTTGACTAATGCTTTATTAGCTGGGATTGCTGAAATGGGCAAACACGTTGGGTAAAATGAGAGAGAGAGCAGCAAGTAGTCCTGTCTTTGAAAAGAAAGGGTATTGAAAAGAAAGGATATCTGGCAGAGTGAAGAAATAGGAATATATGAAAAGTAAAATATTAAAAAGGAACATCCTAGGTATTATCTGCTCCAGTGTAAAAATGTAGGAAATTCTACTAAGCAAAGCACTTAGGTTTGCTCTCTGTGTAATATGAAAACAACTTTTAGTATAGCCTGATGTTAAAATCAAACATACACAGTACTCAAACTTAGTTGTTCTTTGATCTGAGAATTTAGAAGTCAAAGACATAGTCGTATGTCTTGAAATTGATATCAGGATCTTCTGATATTTCTTGCTCATCTTTCAAAGACGTGTCAGGGAGCTCTGGCTTGGCAATTTCCCTGAAATTAAAAGAATTGGGGAGAGAAGAGACCCACTATGGGTAACTATGACTTAATGCTCTGGGTTTCTGTTTTATAAGTCCCATCTTCCTGAAAGCAGGATTTGTGTCTTAAAAGCTGCATTCTTTGCCCAGTCCAGTGTTACTCATGTTAAGTCATTCATCAATATAGCAATAAGTCAATTTAAACAGAGAGGAGGCGGGGGGGGGGGGGGCTTCCCATGAATTAAATATGAACTTCCTTTGTCTCACAGCATCCTGGACAAAACAATCACAGACATTTCCATTCATCCCCTTGGGAGTGTGACGTCTCCAACGTAACGTGATTGCTCTTTTTGAAGCGGAAAAGTGGTCCTGTGTATATAAACCCTATAAGATGAGGCTGCTTGAAAGGCTGCACAGAGTGCACTGAAGGGGGAGAGAGGCATTCGCCCAGGAAGGAGAGCTGCTGAAACTTCAGACCGGCAGTTAGAGGGAGCAGAAACTGACAGGCACTTTCCTTGGCACATTCCTGCTCAGCACCTGAGGAAGAAACTTGTGGATCAGCCAAGGAGCTGCCGAGGGAATTCAGCACTTCGGAAAGCTCCTCGTGTCACCTGCCTTTGAGGTTCCTCTTCCGGCTTTGTAAGTAAAAGTTTTAGGAGTTTCCCTTTGTGGTGCTGGTAGATTTCAGTTCAGAGAAATACCAAACTAATGTTTGTTTGTGGCAAAAGAAATACGGCTAAAAAGTTTCTGTGCACAGACTGGAACCAAATCTGCTGGAGAGATAATTCTTCTTTTGATGCCTTTACTGATTAATCTCCCAGATAACTGAAGTTGTTTCCTTTGGCCTCAGGAAAAATAATCAGTATTTCAGATCCGCTCCTGCTTTTGATCTTACTTCCGGCTGTTATGCTTATGGGAGTCCCTGCTACTACTCTTTTTCTATTTTATTATCATAATTTTGTTTCTCTTTCTGCTTCTTCTTTTCCCATATCCAGATTTCTAGAGTGTGAATTGTGTTGCACATGACCTTTCCTCTGAAATTGTCCACTTCAATTTCACTGGCATTTCACATGGATTTTATTCTTAGCAACATTCTTGGTATCTGATGGAGGGAATGCGGCTCCCCCCTGCCACACGGGGGGGGGGGGCTTTTGTGTGCAGTTGCTACTGTAAAACAATGAAAAGAGATGCCTTTGCATGAGAATGAATGAATTATCGTTACAGCCATGTGAAATCCCTTTCCAGCTCATTAGTGCCTTGTCTCTAGTTCCAAAGCCCTTAAAGTGGAAGTTCTGGACCTGTTCCCAGTGAATTTCAATGGTTTCGCCGAGTAACTGCTACTGGGTTGCAAACAGCATTTATTTACTATCATGATTCAAAGCTGTAAAGAGGAACTGCACTTTTTGTCTTCAGCTGCGGTCCTGCGCACAGTTATCTGGCAGTGAGCAAAGTGGGACTCACTTCTGAGTAAACATGCCTGCTCTGTACATTTCATAAATAGTATGATTTTATATGCTGAATTATATACATGGTGCATTTTCAGTTGTTAAAGCAGTAAGTCAGGTGGCAGAAATATCAAAGTTATATGGTCATATTTTAATACCAGACACAGGAAAATCACTATGAAAATCAAAGTGATTTAAATTAACATTTTGACCCCAATATACTATTAACAAGGTGATTTCTTCTGTCAGTCTGTGTACCTATCTCCTTCTCTCTCTGCCGGCTTGCATGTCAACCCTCTGACCTTTTTTTTAAGTTAAGCTTCGCCTAAAGCTTCTAGGGAACTTATACTGTGTATCTCACCAAAATAAGCACTTTTAATGCATGAAGAAGTTGATCTGTCAAGGCAGCAAAGAATCATAGAACTGTAGACCTAGATGGTCATCTAGTCCAACCCCCTGCAATGAATGGTTGTTGTGATTCATCTTCTCATTCATACCAGAATCATCCATGCCTTTGCTACCAACTGCACATTACTTATCTCACAAGGAATCTGTCATAAGAAACTTATTTGCCTCTCTCAAACTTCTTGTTGAAGGACAATGCCTTAACACCAGGAATCCAAATGATTTTGCCCAATTAATAGTATTTTAAATTAGTATAATTTTTTAATATTTTGAAATGTGCCCTACAGTGGTCTTCCTTTGCCTATTCAGAATTACCAATTTCATGTTTATTAGGCCACCCTTTGCCGTGTCTTTTTGTTTATGCAAAATTTGGGCATTGACAACAAGAGGTTAACATTTTTTAAAATTATCTTTGTCCAGGCAGGTCCACAGAGATGGAACATGGAAGTGGCCCCCAGCTTCTCCTCTCCTTTGCTCTCCTCTATGTCCTCTGCACTCAAGCACTTGCTTTGCCTCCTCTGGGAACATACTCCGCTATGAGGTAAGGGCTGCTCCAGCTAAGCCTACCTAGAGAACAGCATGATTTGCAAATTCAGCAGGAGATGCAGATGTCACAAAACTGTAACAAAAAAAACCAACCCTCCAGTTTGAAATGCTCTAATGCTGCCTACCTTGCAATGGCCAAGCTGAATGTGCTTAGGAAAATTTGCAAAATCATTTTACTTGGACTAGCCAAAAGGGAACTGAGCATTTTTTTGAAAACTTAACTTTGGGCATAGCTTGACTGGATATTTCATGTATGCTTTTACGCCTTTTGTTACTGGCTCTCACTGTTTCATACGTAAGAGGCTAGAAATAGCTAACTAGTTCAATACGAATGGACAGGAAGAAATGAGGACATATTTACTTGGCAGTAACTTTGATAGATGTTAGTCCAAAATGTTCATCAAATTATTCAGTTCAGTGCCCTTGAAAAATCATTGAGATTCCTTGCATGCAATGGAAGTGTATCTGCAACCTTGCAATACCTAGCCAAAGAGTGAAAATACGATGGCTCTCTTTACCATTTGCTTTATCTGTTTTACTTCCATGCCATCCTTTTATCACAGCCTTCTCCAACATAGAGCTCTCCAGATGTTCTTGAACTACAGCTCCCATCCTCCCTGACCACTGGCCATGCCGGCTGGGGCTGATGGAGTCTGAAACATCTGGAAAGCCCCAGGTTAGGGAAGGTTGTTTCATCAGAATTTCACCATTAGTTATTACTGTGTTGAAATTGCTGTTGTAAGCTTGGTGTGATCTAGGATCCATGCCCAGAGCGGCTGGGGTACAATAAATCATTATCATAATCATCACCATCCTCCTCCTCAAGGGCCTGACTTTTAGCTTCCAAGGGTCCTCTCCTTATGAAAGGATGCAGGTATACACACACACAGCAAGAAGTGGGGACAGAGGAAAAACAGACAGGTGTATTTCAAAGCAATCTGTCCAGGGATAAAAGATAGCTCTTTAATAAGCATTTGACATAGACATGGATATTCTTAAAACCACACATGTTTACTGCCCAGTTACATATTAAAACTCAGAGAAAAATGTTTAGTAAATAAAACCAAGAGGCATGTTGCCTGAACACTATCTACCGTACATATTCCAGCCACAACAGGAGAATCTTTAGAAACTAACTAGAAGATTCATCCATTCCATCTTCGTTCAAAAGCACTCAAGAGTCCTATTCACACAATATAATAAACTCACCGATAAGTGAGGTGGGATCACACTGGCAGATCCAGCACCCCAACCTACATACTCTCAACTGAATATCTAAAAGTAAAACAGAGAGCCAAAATAAAACTTTGTTTTATAACAGACAACAAGACCTTGTGTATATCTAGCAAAGTCCATCCTAAGCCTCCTGACTGCTCTTCTGCCAGGAAACATAAAACCTCTAGCTTTAGTTCAGCTTCCATTACTACAAATGTTTAATATGGACTATTATATGGAAGAAGAATATAAATCCAGATCAACATGTCTACAATTATTGGTTGCATTCATCCTCTTAATGGCGGTTATCATGAGCTGCTTGAGTATTAGCACTCAACAGTCTAGGTGCTAGCCTAGTTTAGCGGTCATTAGCAGTGAATGCCAGCCAACTAAATGTCCAGCTTCAGAAGCACATTTATGCTCTAATAGCTTGTTAATAGGCACAGAAGGGGCACGGCAAGATGAAAGGCGTTCTTGTTGAATTGTGCTTTTGAGAACGGCACTAGTCTGTCAGAGACAATTTGGGTCCTTCAAAAGAGGATCCAGATATTCTTGTGTTTACCCATTAGATCATGATTAGGACTGACAGAATGGAATTCCATACAAAGAGACAGCCAGGTTGAAGTGAAACATAGGTAATATTCATCAAGTGATTTTCCGTCACAACTACCTTGGTATTTAGTCTGTGATAAGAGGAACATATTACTCAGGGGTGGAGAACCTGTTGCTCCCCAGATGGTATTCAACTGCAATTCACATCATGCCTGACCTCTACCTATGCTGACCTGGGCTGTTAAAAATTTTGAGTCCAACAACTTATGAAAGGGCATGGGTTTCTCATATATGACTTAAAATATTTTTCTCAACCCTGTGCTTGAAACAGACATCTTATAGAACATAATCGAAAACTCAGATGTCAAATCAACACAAAACCATCATTACAAAAGGACTTTATAGCATGTCTATGTATTAAACACATTGGAAAATTCAGAACTGAAGCAGTTCTAGAATCAAAGGGCTGGAAGAATCTTAAAGTGGGCATCATAGATTATATGTTTGCTATAAGTAGCACTCAGTATTGTCCATGGATCTTACCTCAAAAAGAATTTTATGTCAAAGAATCCTTAGGAGAAAATTAGCTTTTATCAAAGCCTTTTCTGAGAAAATTTGGGAAAGCAAGTGCTGGGGATTATTTCCACCTCTTACTAACCTCCAGGAGCTTCAAGATCCCATTGTATATTTTAAGCAGTGGCGTAGCATGGGTTGTCAGCACCCGGGGCAAGGCAAGTAATTTGCGCCCCCTAACCCGTGAGCCAGGTAGGGGCAGAGAGCTGCGAGTGCGAGCGCCCCCCCCCGATGTTGCGCCCGGTGCGGCCGGCCCCCCTGCACCCCCACGCTACGCCACTGATTTTAAGTGAGCATTAAATGTCCCCCAGCTCAAGTTTTTTTTTGCAGAAACATGACTTTCAACATCATATCAGAACTAGGACGCTCTCTTCCTTTAGTCACATCACATATTAGTTTTAGAATTTACGCAGGTTATTGGGAAGGGTGATTGTTGAGAGTGAGGAAGGGTGAATGTGTCCAGGTGGTGGCTGACTGAGGAATTTTGGTGGGGACTGAGTTGAATGGGTCTTGATTTATCTGCTTTATATACAGTATTATTTAATTTTGGTGTTTAATTTCCTTTGTAAACTGCTTTATGATCGATTCTGATAAAAAGTGGTATACAAATACTTGAAATGAAAAGATAGAAGCAGGAAGGAATATGGAACTAGTCATCTCAAGCCAGAGATGGTTGTCAGTTTCACAGAAAAAAGTTAGCAGATATTCAAACCATAATCTTTCTGATCTTAGTTTTTTCTTACTTTCTGTATATATCCGATTGGGTCACATATTCAGTTCTGAATAGTTCAGTGTGATTACCCTGTGGTTAATAGTTGGCATGCTATGAATCACTTTGTCCAACCATTGTTTCGAAACATCTATTACAATTAAATTGTTTTATTGATTTGTAGTTTGAGATTATCATTCATTTGAGATTATCTATTGACTACAGTTGTCAAATCAGCCCTGGGAAGCCAAATGTTTGGCCAAAATTCAGTGATGTTTGAAGGTTCCCCAATCTTGTCAGGTAAATTATCCAAAGAGACTGCTGGCTGGGGGTTTGATTTTATGAAGAACAGCATCAGCAAACTGAGGAGGCTTCTCGTTTACATTTGTGTATTCGTACAAGGAAACATTCTTTTACTTACAGAAAGCCTTTGGGAGCTCTGTAAGATCCTTTGAAGAAATGAAGTTTCTTCAATTGTATAAGATTGTTGGAACTTGATAACAAGGTGGTCAGGTGAAATGGAGGACAGAACTTCAACACTTTTAATAGTGTAGAAGAGGGAAATTTGGCAGGAACAGCTTATTATGCTAGCTACATGTGCTAGAATTCCCTCCTCTACACAACTGTTAATGGTGTAGGAATCCTGTCCTCTTTTTTACCTGGTCACCATACTTAAACCATGGCATTTGACTTTTGCATAGTGTTCTAATTTCCCTTGTCCTGCTCCCATCATCATGTCTGAGGTTTATCAATATAACACCACAGGGACTGCCATGTGCACGCATTTATACAATAAGTTAAATTACAGACTGAAGCTGCAATGCTATAAACATGCACCTGGGAGTTGGTCCATTTGTGGTCAATAGGACTTACTTCTCAGCAGACATGAATAGGATTGCACTGTAAAAATCTCCTTTTCGCACTGAAACTCCCTTAGGTCATTTACTATGGTTGTGATCAACTGAAGTTAACTACTTTGAAGTCCCCTTGATTTGAATGGGAGAGCTTAGTGTACCTAAATTTCTCCCATTGGCAGGACCATGTTTTCTGTATTATCTTATCAGCACATAATGAAATCATTCTGCATGTATAACTGTTCATTGTGAAGTCTGTACTGAAATAATTGAAAGAGTAGGGACATCTGCATGATATGGACACAGTTTTAAAATATCTGCAGTTGTGACTAATATTCTTCATTGTCATAATGAATGAGAATAATGATTTCATTTATGAATTGCTTACTATAGGCATCTTATAGTAATAGTCAATATTAACCTGGGAGGCGATTGTAAGAATTCTCTAGCATCTTCAAACATTGTTTTCTTTTCCTCTTCTTCACTAGATTAGGAAACAGAATGCCATTTGATGGGGCAAGTGAATCTGATCATTCTCAAGGCTCATTAAAATCTGAGGCTGACATTTTGCAAACTACACTACCTGAGAATGACAAGTTCTATTATGATGTGTACAGAGCTATGGATAGGTAAGGCATTCCTTTTTTTAAAAATCTAATAATCATTGCAAATCTGAATACTGAACTGCTTGTAATTTCACTGAAGCTTTCTGACCATTCCTCTCTCCCTCTTTCATGGTCTTTAAGCTATGTTTGCATTACTAGAATTATGTGTTTGGAACTGCAAGGATCCACATATCTTTAGCTGCAGTAACTATGTGGTTGTCTGTACATTAGCTGTAAATATGAAACTATATACAATCTTGAAAAAGTAGGTCACAGCTTTTTACTGTAGGACTTTCAATTGCAGGAACACAAGACATGCTGATGGACTCTTCACAAGTGGCTACAGCAAACTTTTGGGTCAAATTTCGGCAAGAAAATATTTGGAATCACTTATAGGAAAAAGAGTTGGGTTAGTAACTATTACTCCTGTTTCCCAGACTCAGCTGGTTTCCCCTACATTCCTCTTAAATACCCACATTCCACTATGTTTGAATTCAAACATTGATCATACGATCATCATGTGTTTGTATTTTGTTGGCATCTATCTTGGGAGACAATCTTGGAGGAGTGCAACTTTGGGGGTGAAGCTGAACTGCTGGAGAGTGACAGTGCCTGCTGTGGCTGTAGAGACCGATGTGGGAGAGACATGTTTTGTTGCACCTGGGGCAGATGAAGTCATCTGGTTGTGCTGCTGCAGGTGCACCATGATGTTTCTTCTCTCTGCGTTCCTCCCAGCGTTCATTTCTCTGCTGGTCGCTGCTAGCAGGCCACCCTCAGTGTCTCCAGTGTTCTGAAAGTGAAATCTGAAAGCCAAGTTTTTAAACTTGGATATCCATAATTGGTACAAGCTTATCCATAACTGGTACAAGCAGTATGCCAAATATGGTGGGAGGGATGTAGTCTTAACTTTGCTTGCATAAAATCCCCGTTCAGTTCCTGATATCTCCTGTTGAAGAGTCAAAGAATCATAGAGTTGGAAGGGATCCCAAGGGTCATCTAGTCCAATGCAGGAATCTCAGCTAAAGCATCCTTGACAGATAGCAAAGAGACTGCTAGCTGGGAGAGCTACTGACAGTCAAAAGTATAAAGGCAACTCCATTTCATATTATGCTGTATTTTATCCACCAAGCATTTGTCACTGCTTGTTTTGCTTGAAATCAATGAGAGATCCATGCTTATTTTGCACTGATTTCAGTGGGGTTTTCAAGCATGCTTAACAGTGCAGGACAGAACTCAAAAGTGTCTTTTCGATATTTATTACCACCAGACTTGAATTCTTTTCAGAGTAAATTTGGTTTAGTCAACTAACTTTTACTCAGAGTAATCCATTATAATTAATGGCCATGGCTAACTTTGGCCCATGGATTTCAGTTGGTCTATTCTGAGCAAACAATAGATGAAAACAACTGTAAGAGACAGTTCCAATGCAATTCTATATATGCCTACTCAGAAGTAAAACCCATTGAGTCCAGTGGGGCTTGCTCCCAGGTAAGTGCATATAGAATAGCAATCTTCCACAGACATTTTAAGACCAGTGAAGGGAACCTTTGGCCCTCTAAATATTAACCATGGGGCTGGTGGGATTTGTAGTTCGGCAAAGGTTCCCCACACCTGTGTTAAGAGCATGGTCAAGAAATGAGGTCATTGTATTAATGTAGGGAAAAAAAAGTGAGAATAGACTTTCCATCAGTTACTTAGCTTTCAAGAAATACAACCTGTGGGTTTTGAAATTCTTTCATTTTGATTGGCTCGTGTATTAATTGCAAGTCTCTTTTATGTTCAAGAAATAACACTCCCCTTGATGAACAGACACCGCCAGTCAAACGCCATTCAGATGCTGTCTTTACTGACAACTACAGTCGCTTTCGAAAGCAGATGGCTGTGAAGAAATATTTGAACTCTGTTTTAACTGGGAAAAGAAGGTAGGAAGAAAGAGTGCACAAAAGACAGGTGGTTTTTTTTTTAGAAGTCTCCAGCAGTGACGAGCTATTAACACAATCTTCCTTTTAACATATAGAAAAGTGCAAGCGACGTTGTATCACAGCGTCTTTCTTCTGAGGACAATTTATAACAAAAATAGCTTGAAAGAACAAAGATTGTGTACAGAAAGAAAGGGCATCACGATCCAGCCATATTTTCCCATGCTTTCTATAGAAGGCATGATTTAACTAAGAATGTGAGAACTAACCCGCTTGTTCTCAAGCAGCAATTACATAATTATTAACTAAAATGTTCAGCATTATGCCTTGAGGTAAACTGATTTCTATAAAAGTGCTATACATTGTTTTGTATAATAAAGCTAGACAGGTTGAATCATTTTAATAAAGGCTAATGATGCAATAAAATGCAACAAAGGAGAAAGTTTCTAAGATGAATTCCAAGAAGTAAATTAAACTAAATCTAAGCTTCTGCTCTGCCAGTCAGGAAGAGCTAAACCCAGCCAGCCTTCGGGATGAAACGGAATTGCTTGACCCTGCCTTCTCCGAAAACTATGATGATGTCACTGTAGATGACCTTGAGCTTCTGAATCACCTCCCATTGGTAAGTCTGAACATCTTCCCAACCAGAGTAACCATCTTACGTTTATTATGTGCATAGTTCATATGTGCCACCAGGGTTTTCCAGAAAATTGCTCTTAATGACCTGCCTCCCATATGACATTTCTGTGGGAATCACATCACAGGAAGATAATTGCATGGATTAAATAACGATAATATCTGTGAAGTATTTCTAATGAAAATGAGTGGTTTGATAGTGTTAATTTACCTGGCTCACTTGGGTTTTCTCAGATTGTGTGTGCTAAGGCATGAAACCCAAACTGACTTGTTTAATTAGGGTGAATAGTACTGTGTCTCTGAGGATAACTACACTGGCATTTCTTTTAATTAAAACAAAAATAAGTCCACCCACAACTTCCTCATACCTTTCATGGCCTTCTGATTAGTTGAAATCTAAGTTGCTTCTGAATCTGACCATCTAGTTAGTGGGTAAGCATAAAAAGATTCTTGGCCAGAAGTCTGGTTCATATTCATATTAGTGACACTCACATTGTGGGTTGCTATTTACTAAGGCTGCAGTACGAACACAAGTTACCTGGGAGAAAGCCCCGTTGAATTCAAAGGAAGTTATTTATCTGTAGACATGGGTAGGATTGCAGCCTAAGTGGGTGAAAAGAGGCATTGTGGGAAGGACGTTGACTTCTTATATCAGTGAGTACTGAGGATAATATGGGTAGATGGCATGCAATCAGTGTCAAACATAAAATGATTTTTACACTTATTAGAGTTTGAATTTGTTGAAGTGAAGTTTTTTTCTGAAGGAGTCCTGTGAAACATAACTTGAGAGAAATTATGCATTTATTTAAACCATGCATCCCCATCCATCAACAGGAGTGGTCCATTTCAGGATGCCACTAAGTGTGCTCAGTCTCACTAGACTGTACTTTGGGGTTTTGCCCCCTTTGTTTTTTGTTTAAAAGAAAAAAAACCCACCCCTTTGTTCTTCTGCATAACTCTAACCATCCTGCTACTTCTCTCTTGTTTCTACTTTGGCTCCAATCCTATTGGGCACTCAACCATCTGGGTTTGCTATTAGAGGAAATGATGCGTCTTATCATTCTTATCTTATTTTGCCATTGAGATGCTTAAAGACAAGTCCCTATATCTTATTGCAGCTCATATTTGGGCAGTTAAATGACATTATTGGCCATGCCACAAAGATGATTTGATTTACCATGACATTTTCCCAAGGAGGACTGCATTTGTACAAGTTTATTGTTGTCTACTGGCTAACAGCCCAACAACATGAGCCACTGTTGAACAACCAGGGGTGGGAAAGCTGTGGCCCACCAGATGATGTCAGACTACAAGCCCTTTCATCCCTGACCATTGGTGCTGGTGGGAGTTGGAATTAGCAACATCTGGAGGTGCCACAGGTTTATCACCTCTTATACAAAGCCCACAGCATTGGAAGAGAGAGCCTTGTCTCTGGCTCCAGATCTTTCCTGAAAGCAAGTGCAACCATTAGTGATGCTGGCAAAGAATATGAGGCCCCTGGATTGAATAGCCCTGATAGAAATACTAGAGGTTTGGAGTTCTGTCCTTAAGCAGGCAATGGACAAGCAATTTCAATAAGTTGCTTTCCAAGACTTAGCCCACGCCCTTGCCCTGGCTTCACTTCCATCTCCAGAACATACAACCAATTCAGTAGGCCAGCAGTAGGGAACATTTAGCCCACCTGATGTTGCGGAACTACAACTCCCATCAGCCCCAGCAAGCATGGTCAGTGGCCTGGGATGATGGGAGTTGTAGTTCAGCAATATCTAGAGCACCAAAGGCTGTCCACAGCTGCCACAGACAGTAGGAGAATATCCACTGATTAGGGTCCAGTTCCAGCTACAGTCTTGGCGCTGACAAGACGGAAGTCACATTTAAAAGGCTTTTATCCTATACACTGACCTAACTGGGTACAGTGCCTGTGTTTGCATATGGCTGCCACCTGAGCCACACCAGCCCCAAACATTTTGCTGCCTGAAATGATAGACAAAACTGCACTCCTGTTCCCACCCATTCCACCAGTTGACTTGTACTTCAACAATGATGATGCGATAGCTTTTTTGCTACACCTGAGGGTGGCCTGCTAGCTTGAGGAGCATAGAGCACACACAGCTCTATTCTTCAAGGGAAGGGAATGCCCTGAGGGCTCAGCATAAGTGTCACGAAGTGGGAGACTGTTAACATCAATTGTATACCATCAGAAGCATTGCAATAGCAACCATGGTTCATTTGATTTCTTTACCTATGGTGCAATCCTATACATCTACTCAGAAGTAAGTCCCAAAGAATTCAATGGGACTTACTCCCAGGTAAGTAGGCAAAAGACTGAGTGAGTCACTCAGACCCATTTCTAGCATATGCATTGAGAACTTTTTTAAAAAATTCAGGATTACTGTACAATCTTTTAATAAGTGTTACCATCATTTTCTAAATTAATGGTTCTAAAGTACGTGTTATTTCTCTCTCTCCCTAGAATGTCTGAAGACAACTCCGTAAAAAGAAAAAATCCTGCAAAAAGTCCTAAAGATGAGATCAAACTATTTTTTTGAGTTTCTCATAGTATTTCAAAGAGATGATTTCCGTATTTAAACCAAAACAGATATATTGTGAAGTGAAAATTGTGATATTTTTGTTTCTTATATAATAAAAATGGATGTTTACACTGTAAATATTACTTTAGAGTGATCTACCTAAAGCTGTACATATGTATGCTAGTTTTAACTCACAACAAGTCCTATGATCTCTTATGCTGTAAATCTGTTATTTTGATAACTGCATTTCAAAGAAAGACAAGCAACGCACAGGACAGAAAGTACATTAAACTGCTGCTTATGGCTGCATATACAAAATCACTGTATGCTGATTAATTGCTCCTTATCACTTAAACTACTATCTTGAACTCATGAACTGGATGGGCAGAGAGTGAGCTTTCTCACTTTTTCAGTGCAGTGATGGGGATACGGCTTGACTCCAAATGAACTAACTATATTCAAATTGCTGCTTCACTATACTTGCCTAAGATGAAACTGGAGAGGGATATGTTGAAGAACTCTTCTAAAGCAAAATGTTGGTAGGAATTTAGGAGTGGTGGTGGTGAAATATTTTTCAGTACAATTCATAACACTTATCAGGTGTGTTTAATGTACCCCTAAGGTGCCATTGAACCCTCTTCTCCCTGCCAGCAAGATTCCAGACCATCTGGAGGGGTCTCCTAAGGCAAAATACCTATAGGAATTTTGAGGACACTGAGAAAAATCTCAGTCAGATGAGAGACATTTTTAAAACTCCCCACCCCCAGGTTTAGTAAATGTTCCCCCACCTCCAAATGTAGATAAACCTTTGTGAAAGACTACCAATTAAAGTAAAAGGGCACAACACTGGATGGATTTTTTCATAGGCAACTGCATCATTGGTGCAAATTCAGATTATTTTCATAGCCAAGCAAACTAAAGTCAGATATATATCCTGTATATTTATAGGTATCTTTTTCCATTTAATGATATAGCTACTGGGCTATCAGAATCAATGTAATCCCACAATTGCCAAAGGTGAAACGCTTCCCCTTGATTTGTTAAAATCATTTTGTGCTAAAATCATGGATGCTAGGATTAAAGTGCATTTGACATTGTATATGTTTACCAATGAAAGTATTCCATATATATATATATATATATATATATATATATATATATATGTAGGACTGGAGACACTTTACTATTTTTCCCCAAAATGAATGTAACCGATGAAATATGCAGACAATAAAGACATTTTATTATCACTGCAAATATCATTGGTTTGATTCAGTGCTGCAATAAACTGGGGAGTTGTCAGGTGATAGACAACACCCTAACTCTGTTATTTCAGGAAGCAAGAGAACAGGGGTCAGTACAAAGTACAAGGAGCAGCACTGTTCAAAGCAAGCTCACACCTTGCATTAACTGACCTTCTGCGATGCCTGAAATAGTTCCAGTACAACAGAATGGTCTAGACAAGAGCTGCTCCTACCATTAGGCAATGTGAGGCAGTGGCCTCAGGTGGTGTATTGCTTTGTCTTTACCATCAGTTCTGAAAGCTCCCTTGTACACATTCACTCTGCAGCTGTGGATGGGGGGCAGCACTACAAATGCAAGCCCCACCCGCAAGGTCCCTGTGTGTGTCACCCTGTGTGCTGAGTCCCCAACCATCTGCACGTTAAGCGAGGAAGGTGTGCAAGTGGGCATCTCAAGCAACGATCTCTGCTATAACAACTGTAGGAGTGTTACAGGAGTGTTCCTATTTTGCTCTGTGAAGTTATGGCGTGTATATGGCCATCACGAAAGAGGGGTGCCACATAAAGCAGAGGTGGAATAAATGGCACTCAACAGAATATTTGGTTCTCCAAAACAGTATGAGAAACTCATAGGTACCCAGCAGCTGCCTTGGCATACTCCAAAGAAAATCACTTGATTTGATTGAATACGCGAAAGCTGCTTTTCCAACAACCAAGCTGATGTGAAAGAAGCTCACAGCATTAACAAATATGAACAACACTTCCTAATTCAAAATAAATATACAATAAAACTATAATTAAAACAATGTATGCAGCAAAAAAAAAAGTAAAATAGCACAAAACACCAGTCGTAAGAACATAAGAAGAGCCTGCTGGATCAGATCTCTGGCCCATCTTGTCCAGCATCCTGTTGCCACAGTGGCCAACCAGAGGCCTGTGGGAAACCCGGAAGCTCAAGAGCTCTCTCCCCTCCTGTGGTTTCCACCAACTGGTATTTGGAAGCATTACTGACACCAACTGTGGAGGCAGAGCACAGCCATCACGGCTAGTAGCTTTCAACATTTTGTTGTTGTTTAGTCATTTAGTCGTGTCCGACTCTTCATGACCCCATGGACCAGAGCACCCCTGGCACTCCTGTCTTCCACTGCCTCCCGCAGTTTGGTCAAACTCATGCTGGTAGCTTCAAGAACACTGTCCAACCATCTCGCCCTCTGTCGTCCCCTTCTCCTTGTGCCTTCCATCTTTCCCAACATCAGGGTCTTTTCCAGGGAGTCTTCTCTTCTCATGTGGTGGCCAAAGTATTGGAGCCACTGTCCTCAATGAATTTTTCTAACCTTTTAAAGCCATCACTGCTTCCTGTAGGAAATTAATCAATCCCGCTGGATATAGCTTAGGAATGCCAATTAGCTATGTGCTAAGAAATGGGGGGTGAATCCAGTAAGGCATCCCTATCTCTCACCTAAGGTGTACACACTCCCCTCCCCTCTCTCACCCAGAAGAGGAGGCAGGCTCCACCAACAGGCTCTTACCCGTGGGTAGAATATGTTGTGGGGTGGGGGGAGGGGTGGAAGCTTTGTTTTTATAAATTTGGCCATGGGGGAGATCCATTTTTTCTCTGCCATAGCATTCCTCACATTTCCTCAGGGTCAAAGGGTGTGCAAGTCTGAGAGTGTTACAAACAGAACATCCCAGAGACTAGAATGCAAATACACAACTGAAGTAAATAGATTGCAACGCCCATCATCGCTGACCGTATTAGCTACCCAAACCTGAAGGGATGTTAGAACATCTGCTTCTGAGAGAGAAATTCAGCATCAAACGGCATGTTACACATGAAACACGTGTAAGGAAATCCCAGTTGCCCAGCTCCCATTTGAAGCAACATCTACAGGTTGCCATTTGAAAGAGAGAACCAGAAAAGCATAGGAAATGCTTAACCCTTACCCACCTGCTCTTTTCTGCTGCAACTCCCACAAGCCCCTTTGTCCCTCTATCTACAGAGTTTGGAAAAATAATGTGTAGAGGAAAGGCCAGTACTCTTGACTCATTGGAGAGAGTAAGAAAGCAGGCCACTGGGGTTTAACTGCATGTGATTTGTTTGTACTATGCATACGGTGTAACCATCACATGTATCTCTATAACCACCACCCAGAAGTTCTTTCAAGCAACTGATGCTGAATATGAAATTGAATAGATCTGCACCTAAGAACATAAGAAGTCCTGTATTCTGTTCTCAGAGCTGTCAACCAGATGTCTTTGGGGCCCAAGTGCAACAGCGCTGTCCCCACTTGTGATTCCAGCAATTGGTATTCAGTAGCAACCTGGCCACTGAAGAGAAGCTAGCATTGCACACCTTCTCCAGTCATTTCCAGCATGCATCTAAGGCATCCTGCACTGCAGCATGAGCCTAGCCATCTCTACAGGATGATTTAGTGATGGATTTCTTGCAAGAAGCAATGGGTTGGGCTAGGCAGCCTACAAATCCCCTTCCAACTGTGTCCTTCTGACGTCAGCTGTGCTCACTCGAAGACAAGTGTGTGCAGGCAGCACTCCAAACCACACTTATTGAGAAGTCAGTGTCACTGATACCAGTGGGACCTGCTTCCAAATAAACATGGCTAAGATTGAGATGCACATTTTGTGACCGTCCATTGTTATGAAAAGGGAATCTCATGCTCATCACTTGTAGCATTTGTTATCTATGGCAAAGCTCACATTTGGGTGTGAAGAACACATTTCACAAGGTCAACCAGCTGACATTTTCTTAATGTCACCAGACTGATTGGTGTTCCTAAAGCTTAGGGCAGGACCCTAGAGGGTCAGACATAAAGGGAATCTCAGATTTTTAGAGCAGGAATTGGCTTAACGTAAGTAGAAGTACAATATGGCTAACATAGGCAAATGAATTATGGTTAGAAGTTGGGAAGCAATAAGATAGCAGTAGATGCAGTAGATGTTAGAATATTTTGTAAGAATGGGGAAAACTAGATCTGCACTGGATGGTGGAGTTATTTTTCCAGAAAACTGGCACAAGCACACTGTAGGAAGTGGCGTTCTCATTTACAAACATCCTCTGCCTTGTTTCCAAGCAATTCCCCAGCTTGAATTAGTTTGGTTTACTGACTTCTGCAGCACACTGACCTTTTCATGGGATAAGCCCAGCTTCTGTGGAGCCAGCATGTGTGGTCTCTGGAGACATGACTTACTCAAATAGCCACAGATTACATTCAACTGCAAAAAGCCCAGAACCCAGTTTCCTATTGGAACCTGAAAAAATAAATCACTTTCCTATCTGAAAAGCCTGTTCAAGGTTGAAGCAGAGAAGCTGAAATATTGTTTTCACCTAAATCATCTTTAAAGTCTGAGTCACCCTATCTTTGAATTCTAAATGCAACAACAGCTACCGATCCAGGCTTTATACCATATTCTACCACTCTGATGGCTGATTCCCATAGCCTTTTTATGCATACATTGATTGAGACAACTCACTTTTCAATTTCCCCCCCAGGACATTCTGAGTCACAGTCAGGACACATTTCATCATTCCCAGGACTGATAGTAGAACTTATATTTGGGCATACTTCTATAAGTCAATAAAGGCCTTCAGAGTCTTTACATTTGACTCTGAGGCATTGATCAGCCCAGCCTAAAAAAATTAACAAGATCCCATAACTAGCAGTATGAAACCAATACATTGACACTACCAGCAACCT